TCCTCCGTTCTTTCTTGTCCCTTCGCTGCCCTTTCCTTTCCTCCTCCTGCAACTTTCCTCCCACCCCCGACTTCCCTTCTCTTACCTCCCCGTCCCCCACCCCCTCCTCCCTCCAGTTCCCTCCCCTCCCCTCCCCGTCCCCTTCCCCGGTCCCGCCCATCACTGTTTGCTTTCCTCCCGGATCGGATCCGGATGAAGGGCTTGCCCTGCCTGTGCCCTGCCCTGCCCCACTTCTGGCAGCTGGGGTCTCACTGCATGGCCGAGGGCTCCGGGACTCAGGCCCCGGGGAAAGGGCCCCCGCTCAGCATCCAGGTCCTGCGAGCCCAGTACGAAGGCTTGAGGAGGCAGCAGAGGACCCAGGCCCATCTCGTGGTACTCCCGAAAGGTAGGGCTGGGCAGGTGCTGGGGGAGGGGGGTGCTGGCTGGGAGAGGAACTGGGGGGCTGAGTGCAGGGAGAGCAGGGCCAGGGCTCTGCCAGCCCTCCTGCTGGGGAAAAGCAGAGTAGTTGCAACCAGAGCCAGAGAAGGGGAGGCCGTTCAGTTCAGAGCACCTCTGCTCAGTTGTCCCCCCTGCCAAGGGAGCCAGGACCTCAGCCAGGCACCTGGCCAGCAGCACTGCTCCTGGCGTCTACTTCTGTGTTCTGATCTTGCTAGACTGGTCAGCCCGGTGAGCCAGGCTTGGCCCCCTGCTAGGCCAAGTGGGGTGATGGGAGCTCTGTGTCCTGGCTGAGTCTAACAGAAGCACCTCCTGCAAACCAGAGAAACTGGCTCTAGAGAAAGAAGACACAGCATTCCTAACAGCCTGGGAACTGGCTGGGCTGGAGAAAGTGCAGGGCTCAGGCAGGACCCATGAGGCTCCCCAGGCATATCAAGCCTCAAACAGCAGCCAGGGAGGGTGATCAGACACAGAAACCCCCTCCTTGTAGGGAGAAGCCTCCTCCCTATGGGAACGCAGATTTCTTGCCAGGAGGAAGTTAGGAGCACAGGGCTCAGAAAGCAAGCGGTTGTCAATTCCCAGCTCTGCGTCCTCTAACGAGAGGAGTGGGTCATGTGAGAAGGGAGGAGTCCCTGAAAGGTTAAAGCTGTGCCCTGAGAGCTTCTGTGGCCATTTGTACAGTCCAGGGGACTCACGGAGGGGTCTGCCCTTTGCCAGGCCAGGCTGGGAAGGAACTGGGGCCAGCGGGACCTCACTGTCCAGGGTAGGAATTGTGCTGCCTTTTGGAGACAAAAATGTACCCGTGAGCAGAAGGAGCCTATCTCTCATGACTTGGTCCATTGCCAACTAGTGGGATCCATTTGAACTAAACCGGAATAGCCAAAGGGCCCCCATCACTGCAGAGCATAAGCTGACAGGTTCCTAAACACCTATCCCACCCTCAAGGGTACTTATTCATTCAGACATTCAGCAAGCATTTATTAAATTAAACCTTTATCAAACAAAAACACCATGTTTAACACACCTGTGATTCAGACTCAACTATCTGGTTGCTTTGTAGGCATGAACCAAAGACATTTCAAACTCAACATGCCGCATAGAATTCACCATTCCCTGGTCCCAACCCTCCCTGCTGGCCCTTTCTCCTGCACTTGGTAACTCAGTGCTTCCCACTTCTGTTATTACCCTGTGATAAGTTACGGTAGGTTAATGCAAAGAGTTCTCAGGAGAAGGCTTTCTCAGGGAAGACTTCTGACCCACAGGCTAGGTCAGGGTCTTTCAAGGCACTTCTGGAATTTGCAAATCCACATTCTTTATATAACTGTGAGAGACAGTGCACTGTATAAGGGGAGTGGTCATGTGCTCAGTTTTGGAGCAGAGCCTGAGGTTGAGTCCCAGCTTTGCTGTTTACTTGCTATTCAGCTTTGAACAAGTTATGTCTGTTCTCTGTGACTCAGTGTCCTCATCTGTCATGTGGGAATACCTGTAGTACCTAAATCATAGGATGTTGTAGGAATCAAGTGGATCAATATGTGTGAAGTTCATCAGAACTTTATGCACTGATTGGCTGAGGCCCAGATCACTCACGCCACACGAGTCTGAGTTGAAAGGCCACTGGAAGCACTTGGACTGCGTGTGAAGGAGAAGGTAGCTCTCCAGGGAGAAATCAGGGTAGTATGACAAAAATAAGGTGAAAATGATGCTAGGGAGGCAAAAAAGCAATTGTACCCTACACTTTGGCAAAAGGGTGGATGGGGGTGCCATTTATTGAGATAGGGAATACAGGGGAGAGGTTTTGTTAGGGAGAGATCAATTTGCTCTTAAATATGCTGCATTTGAGATAGTTGCTTGTAGATCTTCCAACCAGCCTGGACCTCAGGAGAGACATTTAGGCTGCAGACATAGATCTGGGATCATCAACATGCAAGTTGTAGTTGAAGCCATGGGCATGGATAAAACTGTGTGTGGAGGGTCAATGTCAATTTAATGAGACCAGGGTGAAAATTAGAGTTCTGGGATATTCAAATATTTAAGGCACAAGCAGAGGAAGAGAAGCCAGGGAAGACAGAGGGAGTAGTCAGAATGCTAGAAGAGGAATATTCTTCAGCCATAAAAAGGAAAGGAATTCTAACAAGTGTTACAACATGGATGAAACTTCAGACATTATACTAAGTGAAATAAGTCAGTGACAAAAAGACAAATACTGTATGATCCCACTTAAGTGAGGTATGTGGAATAGTCATATTTATAAAGACAGAAAGTAGAATGGGGAAATGGGGAGTTATTGTTTGATGTGTTGCTCTGCCTCCCACAGATTTGTCACCCCTTTTCCCCTGGGTGACGGAGCCACCAAAGATTACTCAAAGCCCATCTCTTCTGAGCAGTGAGAAGCCCCCCAAAGGGGTTAATCTCCTGGAACCCTCAAGAGAGAGGCATTCCTTCCATTTGGGAAAGTAACCATGAATTGGGGTTCCCTTCCTGCATTTATTCTCCAGACCAGGAAGCTATAGGAAGAGAACATAGGTGGGTTTTTTTCTAAGTACAGTTTAACAAGTTTAACAATAGACATTCCATACTGCAATTTTCAAGAAGTTAAGTTGATCCACCAACAAAAGCTTGATTTTAGCAAACATTCTCTTCTTACAGCAATTTCCCAGTATCTTTACATATCAATCAGTAACCTGTCTGTCTTTGAGCCAGCAACCTTGCTGTGTTACAACTCTTTATCTTACAACAGAGACTATAGCCTGGGGGAAATTTCCTGTTCTTTGCAAGGTCAATATTTGAAACTGCAAGTCTTTGGAAAACCAGGCCCTGTGAAGTACATTTGCTTTACACGTACTTCACACAATGGGTATAGAATTTCAGTTTGGGGGGCCAGCCCGTGGCTCACTCAGGAGAGTGTGGTGCTGAGAACACCAAGCCCTGGGTTCGGATCCTATATGTGGATGGCCGGTTGGCTCACTTGGGTGAGCATGGTGCTGACAACACCAAGCCAGGGGTTAAGAACCCTTCACCAGTCGTCTTTTTTTTAAAAAAAAAAAAAAAATGAATTTCAGTTTGGGAAAATGAAAAGAGTTTTGGAGATCAGTTGCACAACATTGTGAGTAAATTTAACACTACTTAGCTGTACACTTAAAAATGATTGAGATGGTAAATTTTATGTTCTGTGTATTTTACCACAATTAAAACTTTTTTAAAGTGGTAGGAGAAAACCAGGAGCTCTTAATGTCATGAAGCCAAGCTAGGGGAGGGGTTTTGGAAGACAGTGATCCTCAGTGCCCAATGCAGCAGGGAGACCCAGGAAGACAGAGTGACCACTCAGATTGGGCTCTTACTAAAATGAGATTTCAGTGCCTCAAGACATTGGGTTGCCTTTGGAAGCTCAGGAATTCTGGGAGCTGATTAATGCAAGAAAGGGCCCTGAAATCATCATTCTTCACCCTATCTTAGCATTATGGGATGGATCTAGGTTCTAGAAATGCAGTTCCAAGGAGCAGCATGCTTGCCCTGTTACTACATAAGGGCACCGTGAACCACTTCCTAATCTATGAAGCCCCAGTTACCCCAATGATTGGCGTCCAAAAGGCATAGGCTTTTGTCACATTCAGACAGTGTAACTCATCTCACGCAGAAGAGGGATTAGGCCTGGGACTCTGTCTGGCCTGGGTGTTTCATACGTGCCTTTCATTTAACATTCCCAACAGCCGTGTAAGTTAGCTCCTCTTTCACAATCTCCATCACGCAGATGAGGAGATGGGGGCTCAGGGTCAAGTCAGTGGTGTGGTCAGGACCGGAACTCATGTCTGCCTGACTGACTGGACCAGAGCGACCCCAGCAGAGGGTACCAGGCAGTTTAGGGTGAGTGTTGGTTCTTCATCCCTTGAGCCTCTCCTTCTCTCTCTCTCCACCCTCCTCCTTCATCCCAGCTGAGGAGAGAAATCGAGGGGCTCAGAATGCCCCTTCCCCAGCTCGTACCTTCTGGCAAATTGCACCCAGGATGGAAAATTAGCAAAGTGTCTGAATAATTAGAACATTTCCTTCATCCCCAGTCCCCAATTGACCAAAACCAAAGCAGATAAAAAATATATACATTATACGAAATTTCTCTGAACACTTTAGGCAATTACTTTAATTTTCTTTGGCTTGGACAGTGGAGAGCAGGCACCATTCCTCAGGTGTGCAGGGGACTGCCATGAAGGCTCCTGGCGGGATTCGCAGCACGGTCTGCTCTGCGGTCAGGCTGGGGCTGACCATTGAGCAGGTCCCGCTAGCAAGACCTGCCTGTCCACCTCAGGTCCTTTCCTCCTAGACTCACGATGGGAGAGGATAGGGACTCCCCGCATATCCCCCTCCTTTCTCCTTCTCAACTAAGTACATAGCACTTTGAATATTTGTAAAGGTATTCATGCTTGTTATGATAAGAAAATAGTGCTGTTACAAAGCGTCTTACCAGCGGTACCAGTGTTCACAAGACTGAGGCTGTTTGCAGAGACGGTCGCATCTGGTCTTCTGTTTCATTTCTTTTGGATTTCTGGATCCCGAGCTCAGGGACTTCCTTCTGACTTTATTCCCCCAACACCATCCTCCTACACTTGCTATGCACTTTGTCACCTACAGGGCCTCCTGTGGTAGCAGGTGCCAGAACACTCAAGTGAACTTAACTGACATCTCAGAGGGACCCCTCAGACCCACTTTCTATAGGAAAATGCCTTTCACTTATTCCCATCACTCTCTCTGCCACCAAGAGTTGACAATGAACTATAATATTCCACAAAGTATTAAAATAAATGTCCCCGAGGAAGAAGCATTCTCAGCTCTGAAGCCAGTTCTGAGAAGCAATAGATGCTGCAAATGTCTTCCCAGCACAGTGTCTGTGGAATGGGAGAAGGATAATGGCCAGTTTTCTAAAAGGAGCTGCTTCAAAACACAGATCCTCTCTCCTCTGCCTTGTGTAGAAAAGCCATTGTCAGAATCCCAGGACACAGCACCCCATTACTTAAGAACAATCTTTTTTACGGTGAGTGTGTGTGAATCTGTATGTGTCCTTCCTCCTTGAAATTCTCAAATGCTAGCTCTCTACATCTTGGTGAGTGTATGTGAAGCCATACATGTGTGTGAATCTGTATGTGTCCTTCCTCCTTGAAATTCTCAAATGCTAGCTCTCTACATCTTCCCGGATATCACTCCCTAACTTCAGTTTTTGGCCCTCTATTATGCTTGAATTTTTCCATACCATTGGTTACCACCTGAAATTTTATTAAGTGTATTCGTTTATTTATTGTTTTTCTACTCTACTAAGACACATCCATGAATGTGTGGGTTTTGTTTCAGTGTTCACTGCTGTATTCCCGGAAGCTAGAATAAATAATGCCTGGAACATATTAAGTGCCTAATAAATATCTGTTGAATGAATGAATAATTGTATGCATATGTGGGGGGGAGTACATGTGCATATGTGAGCATGTGCAAGTGAGACCATGTGTGTATCCATGTCTGTATGCATGCATGCAATGTACTGGGTACCTGGCCTCCTTGCCATTCTGGGTATGGTCTTTCTTTAGCTGGAAAGCTCTGAGACCCCCTAAATGTGAGGGGCCCGTGTAACTTCCAGTGATGACCCCGCTTGTGCCTTCTCTTCTCAGGAGGGAACACATCTGCTCCTACTGAGTCCATGATCAGTGCTGTTTGGATTAACAAGGAAAAGAGCTCAGTGTCCCTGGAACAGGCAGATCCCGAGGCAGAGGGAATGCTGGAGGAGGATGGCAAAGGCTGTCTTCAGGTCCCTGAGTCTCCATGGTACACGCACCTAGAGATGTGTCGTCTGGTCCAAACCGTCCACCAGGAAACAAATCATCAAATAAATTACAAGGGCAAGCTTGTGGGGTCTGATGAAAGGCTCCCTCCAGAAGGAAACCCACACTCATTTGAAAACAATCAGGTGACTCAGCCAAGACCCAAAATCCCAGAGGCAGCCCAGCATCAATGTCAGGTGGGCAGTACGCAAACAAAAGCAGTGGAATCTGGCCTAAAACTCAGCATTCAGTGTCCTCCTTCCTTAAAGAACTCACATGGGCCTGGCAAACCAGCTCACTATCCATTTCCCCAAAGGAAAACTCCCAGAATCTCCCAAGCTGCCCGCAACCTGGGCTTATATGGCCCAGCCTGAAGCTTTCTACTCAGCCGGATGCCTCAGCTTGAGGCCATCTATGGCCTCATGAAAGAACCCAGGAGGCAGAGCCACACCTGGAGCCTCTAGCCAGGAGCAAGAACTGGACTAACCCAACTGTAGGAACTGTGAGAAATGAACTTCATGATGGAAACATAGTACTGTCCTTCAAAAAAGAAGAGATTGCCCAGGCCAGATTGCTCACAGTTTAGGATGCAAGATCATTGATCACTGTCTGACCAATGCAGCACCATTCTGCTTCTACAAGAAGACATTGCTGTGGAATGCTGGGTGCCCATTTCTTGGGGAGGTCCAGTAGGACATCTGTTCTGTCCCTGGAACTGGAGAATTTTGAAACATAAAGCAGGGACTCTAGCATTATAATGGAATGCCTTGGCAACGCCCCGGGGTCAATGGGCATGGACAACCTTATTTTCAATATCTTCTGATGATTGCTCACATGTGGATATGAGCTCTGAGAATTCAGAGTCTTCTTCCGGTTGCTAGGCCTGGGGCCCACGCTCATTCAGAAGTCACTACATTCATTGGTAGTGAACACTCCATTTCAGCTAGGTCCCCTGGTTGAAGAGGGTCAGATTGGGACTGGCTGGTTAGCTCACTTGGGAGAGCAGGGTGCTGATAACACCAAGGTCAAGGGTTCTGATTCCCTTACCAGCCAGCCAGAAAAAAAAAAAAAAAAAAAAAGATGGTCAGATCAATGATACCTGTTCTTTTGTGTGTTTAGGGGTTTTTAGGAAGGGCTAATCATCTGTCGCCTCTCACTGAGACTGCATATTCCAGATTCGTCACAGACTTATTTCCTTCCTTCTTTCCCTCCTTCCTTCTACCTTTCTGTCTTTTTCTCTCTTTGAAATTAACTTCTTATTAAAAACTGCCAATCATTGAAGATATATGGTAATAATAATGGGAGCCTGGGCAAGAAGAGACAAAGAAATACTCCTGCCTGGAAAATACGTTTTTCCCATAATCTGCCCCCTTTTCAGCCTAACTTGATCATTCAGCTCTTTCCTGGGATCAAATGTATACTTTTAAATCTAAGACAAAGTGAAATGGGTGTTACTTGGGTGACAGGGAAGAGAGCATGTCTTTCCTGGTTACTGTTTAGCTTTAGTAAGGATAGTTAGGGGCTGGCTAGTTAACTCAGTTGGTTAGAGTGCCACTTTGTAACACCAACGTCAAGGGTTCGGTTCCCCTTGCCCACCAGCTGCCAAAAGAAAAAAGAAAACTTAACTGTGTCTGCAAAGCAATCAACCTTTGCACCAGCTGAAGTGGCCCACGGGCTGAGCATACCTGGGTCATTCCTGCCAACATGCCTTTGCTAATTAAACTCTGGGAATGTTCCCTACCTCCATTTCTGCCTGTCAAAATGATAAAACTTGATGGAAAAATACCATCTCTAAAGTAATAGCTTCTAGGGCTGGCTGATTAGCTCAGTTGGTTAGAGCACAGCCTTGTAACACCAAGGTCAAGGGTTCAGATCCCCATACCAACCAGCCCCCCAACACCCCCAAAAAGCAATGATATCTAAACACCTAAGGTGCCGTTCCCTCATATCACATTCTCTCTATAATGTGGTGTGTATACACAATGGGATACTACTCTGCCATAAGGAGGAATGAACTTCTGCCATTCACAGCAACAGGGATGAACTTAGAGAAAATTATGTTAAGTGAAACAAGGCAGGCACAGAAAGAGAAATGCCACATGCACTCACTGATAAGTGGGAGCCAGAAAAAGAAAGAAGGAAGGAAGGGAGGCCATCCAGTCTTGCCCATCTACAGCCACAGTTGTTACCAGGAGCGTCATTATCTATTACAAATATGTATGTGCCTGCTCCTTGGGCCACTCAGAAATTCACCCCAGTATTGGAGATTCATTGTGATTCCTTCATGAATAATTAACAAGATTCAGTTATTCTTTTTATACTCTAATAAAAAGCAAGGATCTTTCCTGAAAAAAACTTTGTTCTTTGCTTTTCTTTTAAAGAAGACTCCCACAAGTCACTCTCCTTTCTATAGTCTTCTTTCTCTTTCTCTCCTCGTTGTCCCCGAGGCTGCTACAGGTCTGGCAGCACACGCAGGGCACCTCTGTCCTGCGTACGAGGTGCTGGAACATCCTGCGCTGTAAGGTCAGCAGACCTGGGTTTTAATCTGGCCATTCTTGATGTGCGATTTGAGCCAAGCTACTTAATCTCTCAGCTTTGGTTTCATCATCTGTAAAGAGGAGATAATACTCACTTTTGAAAGGACTGGAAATCACATGTGCAAAAGATCCTGGCACTTTCAGCAAGAGGCAGCGATCATTGTTTTTAAAGTTTCATGACATCTCCTCCTCCACCTCCCACTCAGGCGTCGACCCCCTGTAGTCTGTTTCTGCTCCCCTGAGGATGGATAACCACCTCCTCTCCAAATGCAATGGCTCCTTCTCCTAAATCTTCCTTCTCTTTTATCTCTTCAGCATTCATTCCTGTTACCATTGATTTCCTGCACCTTCTTCTTCCACCTCTCCTTTAGTTTTGGGATCTCCCCTACCAGTCCATGAACCCCTTTCAGTCAGGGAAAATGTCAGATTTGTCTTATTGCCCCAGCACACAGAATAAGGCTTGGCATAGACAGTGCTCAATAAATGTTGGCCGAATGAAGGAGTTATGAACTGAGTACCACATCCCTTTTTGTCTCCTACCCAACAGCCCAACTCTCCCTACTCCCCTTAACTTATAGACTCAAGTTCAGACCCTGGCTTTTAACTTTTCCTTGAATGCATTCTCTGTTGGGAGTCAAAACAATGAGAAGAGCATTCCAGGCAGAGGGAACAGGATGTGTAACGATCCTAAAAGATGAGAACTCCTGATCTGTTTCAGGAGCTGAAAGAGGGTCAGTATGATTCAAGCAGTAGCCAAGGGAGAGAGGAGACACTAAGGTCGTGTGTCAGTCAGGATAGGCTCTGTTTGCTGCAGTAACAAACAACCCCCAAATCTCACAACAGAAGCTTATTTTTTACTCATGAAAAGTCCACTGTGGATTTGGGCAAACTTCCAGGGCAGTTCCCCTTCACACAGTATCAGCAACTCAGCCTTCCCAGTCTGACCCCCAATCTTATGGCTCCACCATATCAGCATTTGTTTCCCTAATCAGCACAGCAGGAGAAGAAGGTGCATTGTACTGGCTCTCAAGTCACTTTCACTCATATTTCATTGTTCAAAGCAAGTCCCACGGTCATATCTTCATTTCAGGGGCATGAAGAAGCACAGTCATCCCACGTGCCTGGAAGGAAAGAAATAGAAACATGGCTGAGCAGCAGCACTGGGTAACACAGGTAGATAGGGCCAGGTCGTGGAGGGACTTGTAGGCATCGCACAATATTAAAGTTCATTCTGGACACAATAAGTAGTCACTGAGGGTTTACACAGGAGACTAAAACGATTTGATTCACAAGTTAACCAGATTACTCTGGTGGTTCTATAGAGAATGAGTTGAGGGTCAGGTTAAGAGACAATGTCAGGAAAGAAATGGCCACGGCAAGTTCATTGGGAGACATGCTGTTAGCTCAAGTGATGGTGGGAGCAGAAGAGATGCAGCAAAAGTGGATACATTTTATACATATTTTAGAGATAGAATCAGTAAGATTTACTAAAGGAAGATTATAAATTCAGTTTGAAGGATACTGAGATTGAAATGCCCGTGAGACCCACAAATGATGACATCCAGTAGGCGAGGGGGTACATGAGACAGTTTTGGGCTAAAGAGAATGAACGTAAGGGCCATCAGCACGTGGTGGGACTTGAAAGACTGAGAAAGGGTAAGTTCCCCTGTGCAGACTATAGAGAGAACACAGAGTCCGGAAGGAGTCCTGAAAACTCCCAGTGTCCTAACCCTTGCTTAGAAGAGGTGGGGTTGAGGGAGGAGGAGGCAGCAGAGGACACTGAGAAGGAGTGGCCAGGGAGAAAGACGGAGAGCAGGAGCGTGCAAAGTCACAGCACTCGAGAACGCAAGAGTTACTGCAAGACAGTGGCCGTGTCACGCCCCTCACTGGAAACCTTCCACAGATCTTCGTTTTCTAGATGCCACAGTTTTTAGCCTGAAGTTGCTTTTTCTTGAGCATGGGTTTAAGAGGCCAGAGTCCAAGAGGCAATGCTGGTGGTGTGAAAACTCTTAAAGTCAGTGTTAGCAAGTTCAGGTCAGAGCTGACTGGCACCAAGGCTGGCTTGAGTGTGCCTTTGCCCCAGAGGCCTGGCTTTCCTCTCAGGACGGGGCCCTGCTCATGCCTGGGTGGGGCTGCAGATTGAGTGTTCCCTTGAGGCTGAAGGGACAGCAGGCAGGGGAGTGGCTGATCTTTGAATCCTTCCTCTCCCTCCTGATAAGGCTGTACCGGCCAAGAGCATGGGACCAGAACAATTTCTGTTTCTCAATCACACACTCACACACACATACACTCGCACACTGCCCTCCAACCAGCCTGTGGGCTGTCAGACCTGCTTGGGCAAAAGGGCTCAGATTACTGTCCAGGGGGTCACCCTACCCACAGCTTTGATTTTCTTTCCTGTGCTGGTCAGGACTGTGACTAACCTCTTTCCACACTCTCCGCAATGTTAGCAGGTTTCCCTAAGGTAGAGAATAACCAGCTCACACTGTGAATCCTGCATCAGGCAGGTGGCCTTTGCTTAGGGTCCCTCCCACCTTCCAGGCCCCATGAGGACTCCCCCATGTGGCTGCCTTGTGGTATGCTTCGACAGATCGGGTGCCAGTCTCAGTGGTGCCATTGGTGGATGTGTGACCTTTGTTGAGTTACTTGCGTCTCAGAGCCACAGATTTCCACGTCCTAACAGGATGATACCCCGGAGAATGGGGGTGGGGGTAGAAGGAGAGTTTTCCCTCAGCTGGGAACAGAAAAGGTCTTTTCCCAAACTGCTCCTGCCTCTGCTTGTCCCCTCACGCTGTCTCAGTCTGATTCCCTGTCTTCTCAGTCACTCCCGGGCATGAAAGCCATTCACACCAGTTCTCAAGACCTGGAACTACTTAAATCCAAAAGTCTGTCTCATAGTCAAGTCACCTCCTTCCCCTTTCTGTGCACACAGATTTTTGGCATTGGGATAGTAAGGACAGAGAGCACAGATGGCCCTTTATGTGACCGGCTGTGGTGTCGTTTGGGTCTTTTCCCTTGGCCCAGGATGGTGTGGACAGGCGGTGGCCCCAACAGACTACTGCTGATGAGGGAATGAGCCTAAGCAGCTCTCTCGGCATCAAGGGTCCCTTGTGTGAGTGGGTACGCCTGCTCCAGCTGCTACCCCAACCCCACTGCATTGGAGGTCCACTTCTCTTTGCCCTGTGCCCCAATTTTGTCTACCTCTGCTGGCCCAACTGGGCCTGTGCACCCAGACAGGAGGCATTTTCTGCACGTGTGTAATGTGATCACCCATGCACCTTCTCTTCCTAGCTATTCTAGATTGTATTTTTCCGCTGAAGTCTGTCCCCTCTTGCTCTTGGGGCAAGCCTAGTGGCTGAGCAAGAGAGTGATGCATTGGTCCCCTCTTCCTGCAGACAGTACTGTCTCTAAAAGAAAGGTTCTTTGGCCTCCCTCTCTCTCCCCCTTGGCTTTGAGGAGATTTAGACAAGTGTTCACTTTCATGGAGAGGGGAAGAGGGAATGGCTTCCATACAAACGTTGACTGTCCACAAGAGGCAGCCTCTTCCCAGCCTCCTTTCACTGGGGAAAAAGGTTGTGTCCATTCTGTCAAAGTGATGTCTGTCTCTCAGCAAGCTCTAGGACTGTGTTTCTCAAACTATGGCATGCATCAGAATCACCTGGAAGACTTGCTAAAACACTGATTGCTGACCCCTACTGCCAAAGATTCTGATTCGGGGGCGGGGGGGTAGGGGACAAGAATTTACATTTCTAACCAGTTCCCTGATGCTGCTGCTGGACTGGAATCCACACTTCAATAACCACTGCTCTTGTGCATGTGGCTGACCTATAAAACTGGTAATACTTAGAATGTTGGGGTCTTTCATGCCTTTTGTTCTCAGCTGTGGATTATATTTTGGGGGAAAGAGGGAAGATCCCATGGGAACCACACCATCCTGTTGTGTAGCTATTCAACAGCACAAGCCCCACCCCTATCCCAAACCCTGGCTCTGCTAGCTGGAGTGAGTGGAGCCGGAGTCAGAGATGGGAGACTCCATCACAGTTCTCACTGTGCCTCAGCTGACCGGGAGGAGTTTGCTTCCACTTTTTAGTAGGAATCAAACCTTGCAGTGGACCCCTAGGTGAAAAGGAAAATTTCCTTTCAGAAGCTGAGCTGAGCTGTTAATTGGGTGCAAGGATCTAGCAAAACCCCAGCCATTTTCTAAGTCCAGAACTTCTTCCTGTGCATCCTGATTCCAGGTGGAATATAGAGAGGAAATATTGCAACTTGCCTGTGGCTGTCTCCTGGTCCTCTCTTTAATCACTTGGGCTCCTCCAAAGGCTCGCACTTGCTTCTCTAATCTACCATTCACCCACAGTGTCAATGGCATGGGCTTCAAAGACCTTCAGGGGACCAGCTACATCAGCTACACCATCTACATCTTAAGACCCTAGCTTGGTGTATTAGCCCATTTCTGCTG